TATGGCAACGGAAGCATAACGCTGAGGAGAAATGGAAGTAATACTCTTGCAGGGTTCTTAAACCACACACACAGTAGTGTAATATCAACTGAAGATAGGCTCTCATAACTTAAACATGTAAACCATAAGCCCTGAAGCAACCACTAAGATAACCAAAGGGTTATAGCTAAGAGTCAACAAAAAAGGTGAAATGGAATCATAAAAATTCCTGAATTTACCCAAGAAGCTTTGAATAATGTGGGGGAAAGGCATAAAAAGTAGGTGGAACAAATAGAAAACTAGTAGCAAGATTATGAATTTAAACTAATATCAATAACACCAAACATACATGTCCCGTGCAATCCAAATAAAAGATAAGTATTGTCAGCATTACCCAACTCTATGCTAATTTGTAAGAAATGTACTTTAAATATAAAGACACAAAGAGGCTACAATAAACACTCCTTCATCTCTTTTTTGAAATTGAATTTGTAGTTAAAAACCTTTCAACAAGTAAACCTCAAGGTTCAGAGAGCTTTACTGGTGAATTCTACAAAATAAGAAAAAAATGATAGCCCCAGCTGGCATGGCTCAGTGGATTGAGTGCCAGCCTGTGAACCAAAGGGTCACCAGTTCATTTCCCAGTCGGGGCACCTGCCTGGGTTCCAGGCTGGGTCCCCAGTGCAGGGCATGCAAGAGGCAACCACACATCAATGTTTCTCTTCCTTCTTTCCTCTGTCTCTAAAAAATAAATAAATAAAATCTTTTAAAAATGTTTTTTAAAATAAAAAATGATATTGATTCATATACAAACTCATAGAAATTTAAAGAGGAGAGGCTATTCCCTAATTCATCCTATGGTAGCAGAATTATCCTGATACAAAAAAAAACACAAAAAACCCTAAACCAAAATACTACAAACAAGAAAATAACAGATCCTTTTCCTTTGTGAACATACATGCAAAACCACTAAACAAAATTTTAGCAAGTCTAATCCTAGAATACATTTTAAAAAACTTAATACATCATTATCCAGTAGGATTTGTCCCTGGGGTACAAGATGGATTTAACATTCAAAAATCAATCACTGTGATTTATCACATGAACAAACTAAAAAAGAAGAATGTTAACTCACCTCAGCAGATGTAGAAAAAGCATTTTACCTAATACTCGTTGCTGCTTAAGAATACTAAACAAATAAGAAACAGAAGGAAGACTTCTCAACCTAATAAAATGCACCTATGGAAACTATAGAGGTAACCTCATATTTAATGATGAAAAGTTATTTCCCCCTATGATTATGAGCAAGATGAATATGTCTGCCTTTATTCTTTCTGTTCAAACTTGTCTGGAGGTTCTAACCTGTGCAATCAGAGAAGAAAAATAAATGAAAAGCACCCAGGTTGGAAAGGAAAAAAGTAAAACTGTCCATTTTCAGACGATTCAATTTATAGATGATTGAGAGAAACTACAAAACAACTACTAGAGTAAGTGAGTTTAGGGAGCTTGCAACCAAGCTATCAGATAACTGCAGCCCTTAGCTGTCATTTTGTTTACAACCTAACAATAGGCCTTGAACCAGAAGGACCCAGTTAAGCTACTCCCAAGTTTCTCCACAGAAACTTCAAGATAATAAATGTTGTTGTAAGTATCTTTGGGGGGAGTATTGATCATGTTGCAACCAATAACTAATATAGGCTTTGCAAACATGTGCATTCAACATTTATTCTTTACTAACTCGGAGTTGGGCATTTTTTCTTAGCGTTAGGAATACAGTGACAAAAAATCAGCAGGGTTTCTGTATTCATGGATCATACATTTTGATAGTAGTGATGGGAGAGCAGCAAGACACGGGCAATAAATAAGTAAACTCATCAATAATAATAATCAGTGATGAGTGTTTTGGAAACAGTGAAATAGGTGATGTGATAGAGGATCATTACTTTAGACAAGATTTTCAGGGAAAACCTTTCTAAAGAAGTGATATTTAAACTACCTTATTTTTAGGAGTATAAGATGCACCAGACCATAAGAAGCACCTAGGTTTTAAAGGAGGAAAATAAGGAAAAAATTTTGAAGCAAAAAACGTGGTAAAATATTTAATAACATAAATAACATAGGCCACCACCACCCCACCCTCCCACAGTGAGCCAGGTAAGCTACATTTGAACTATAAGACACACTCCCCTTTCCCCCCCAAATTTAAGTAGGGTGGGGGGGAGTGTGTCTTATAGTCCAAAAAATATGGTAAGACTTGGAGATGTGAAGATCTGGGCACAGATTGTTCCAGGCATAGAGTTCAGCAGTAGCAAAGGCCCAGAGATGACAACTTGTCTTGTCCCAGGTCCAGCAAAGTGGCTGAATGCAGAGAACAGGGGAGCATCTTGTGAAATGAGACTACGCAGTTGAGTAAGGGCTGGACCTTGATGGCCAGGAATCAGCAAACTGTGGCTTCCAGGTCAAATTCGTCCTGAGGCCTATTTCGGTACAGACTACAAGCTGAGAATGACTTCTACATCTGTGGAGGTTTATATAAAGAGAAGGAGACATGACAAAGATGATCTGTGGCCCACAAAGCCTAAAGTATGTACTATCTGATTCTTTACAAGAAAAGCTAACCAACCCCTATAGTGGGACGTTACTGGTCAGGTTAAAAAATTTACATATACCATTAAAGTCCTAGAGCAGAACATAGCCAGGAAAATCTCAGATATTCCATGCAGCAATATTTTCACTGATATGTCCCCTAGAGCAAGGTACATAAGGGAAAGAACAAACAAATGGGATCTCATCAAAATAAAAAGCTTCTGCATGGCTAAAGAAAACAGCATTAAAATGAAAAGAGAACCAACAGTATGGGAAAACATTTTTGCCAATGATACCTCAAACAAGGGTTTGATTACCAAAATAAATAAAGAACTCACATGATTCCACTCCATGAAGACAAACAACCCAATTAAAAAATGGGCAAGAGACCTGAACAGATACTTCTGCAAGGAGGGCATACAGAGGGCCCAGAGACATATGAAAAGATGCTCAGCATCACTAGCCATCAGAGAGGTGCAAATTAAAACTACAATGATATACCACCTCACACCGTTGAGAATGGCCATAATAAACAAAGCAAGAAACAAGCATTGGAGAGGTTGTAGAGAAAAAGGAACACTACTGCATTGTTGGTAGGATTGCAGGCTGGTGCAACCTCTATGGAAAACAGTATGGAATTTCCTCAGAAAACTGAAAATGGATCTGCTGTTTGACCCAGTAATTCCACTGCTAGGATTATATCCTAAGAACCCTGAAACAACAATCCAAAAGAACCTCTGTACCTCAATGTTCATAGCAGCACAATTTATAATAGCCAAGTGCTGGAAGCAACCTAAGTGCCCATCAGTAAATGAATGGATCAGAAAACTGTGGTACATTTACACAATGGAATACTATGCAGCAGAAAGAAAGAAGGAGCTCCTACCCTTTGCAACAGCTTGGATGGAGCTGGAAAGCATTATGCTAAGCGAAATAAGCCAGGTTGTCAAAGACAAATACCATATGATCTCACCTTTAACAGGAACCTATTCAACAAAATGAACAAGCAAGCAAAATATAACCAAAGACACTGAAATAGAGAACAGGCTGACGGTGACCAGAGGGGAGAGGGGAGGGGATTATAGGGGGAAAGGGTGAAGGGTTCACAGGAACAATTATAAAGGACACATGGACAATAATGAAGGGAAGGTGGACACAGAGGAGGGAGGTAAGGAGGGCTGGGGTCGTGGGGAGGGGTATGGGGAAAAGGCAGAAAACTACTTGAACAACAATAAAAAAGGTTTAAATTTTTTAAATTTACATATAATTTTATTTTTCTTAATTGTATTTCTTTTTTATTAAAGAATGGTATTCTACTGTATGGGTGTATCACTGTTTATCCCTTGTCTTATGGAGGAACACTTGAATTGTTTCCAGTTTGGTGTAATTATGAATAAAGCCACTAAAAACATACAATTTAATGAATTTTGACAGAGTATATATTTACTTATTTCTAGTATAATTAATATATAGAACATTTCCATAACCCTGGTGAGTTCTCTCCTGTTTTTTTCTGATTATTCTCCCCTAAATGTTATTCTGAATTCTATCACCATAGTTCTCCTTTCCTGTGCCAGAAATTCATACAAATGGAATCATACAGTATGTGAAGAATTGATGTTCTTTTTACCCCAAGATGAATTAGTAAGCAAGTGAAGACCTCTCAGAAGGAAATTGGCACAACCTGATTTATATTTTAAATTATTATCTTTTGGCTACTGTGTGAAGAATGATGAGTAGGTGATAGTGCACCACTTAAGTATTCTTTTTCTCTCCGTCTCTTCTGGGTGGATAGGAAGCGTGTGCCTCAATAAAATTCCTGGGTGGACCAGAATCTACCTGCGGGTTGCAAATCTATCCCGCAAAGCGGAACTCAAGAGTTCCCCAAGGCGCCGGAACTGTTCCTGCCATTCGCAGTTCTCCCCAGCAGATGACTCCAGAGCCTCGTTCCGAGCCGCCTGGAGGAGTCTGCCAGCCCGCTGCAACGCGAGCTGGGCGCTGCCAGGTGGCTCCTCGCTGCATCTCTGCGCCAAGCGGTCCGGGTTTGCGCTGAAGTTGGAATACAGTGAAAATCATACAGGAGTGTTGCGCCCCGGCTTCAGCTGCACATCGGGCTGGTATCAGCAGAGGTGCCTCCCTTAGGACAGAAGCAGATCGACCCTCGTCTGTCCCGGACATTCCGCAGGGACTTTGTCGAGATAGAGAGTGTGTGGGAAGGAAGTGGAGATGATCCTGGCAGGCAGCGCTTTTAGGAGTCTACCCACAGGGCAAGGTGGCCCGCTGGATGTAGAGACCAGGAAAGGAGGGGCCTTCTGAAGTAGGCTTTGGAAAGAACTAATGGGAGGAACGTATGGGCCTGGTTGGTGAGCAGGGTGGGGACAACCAGGACGGGTGTTAAATGTCAGGGAACAGACGGAGTGGGCTGCGTGGCTTTGGGCTGGGAAAGTAAAGCCAACAGGCTTGTTTGCCCGGAGAGTTGCCTAGAGAAACAGAACACTTGAGAGCCTCTTCTGTCCCCTCTCCAGCCTCCTCCTTGGTGCTGAAGTCACAACCCCAACGAGCCTTCTCCCACCCTTGTCCCTCTCCTGCGGCCTGAGGAACCCGAAACGCGGAGGGCTGAGAATGAGACGATAGTGAAGGATGAAGAAATAGCTTTGGACCCGTGGAACATGAGGCCGATGCCCCTATTGCAACTGGCGCTGCTTGTCGCCATGCCCAGGGGCCTGGGGGGAAAAGGGTGTCTTTCTCCGCCCTGCGAGTGCCACCAGGAGGACGACTTCAGAGTCACCTGCAAGGATATCGACCACATTCCCAGCCTACCGCCCAGTACGCAGACTCTGTAAGTACCTGGGAGAGGAGAGGGTAGAGTAGGTCCCGGAGGCCGAGGGCAGCTGCAAAAGTGGACCTAAGTACACGAAAGAACTTGAGAATAGGCCAGAGGGGTCTGTGTGTGTGCGCGCGTGCTATGCGTAAAAACTCAATCCCAGAAGCTTGGGATTGCTGGCACCATGTTATTAATGACACAGAAAAAAGTAGCAGAACTTGGGTACAAGATGAAAGTGAGAGCCGTTCCTTTTAAAGAGCTATTTCTGCATCTTCCCTACTCCTCACCCAGGCTGAACTTAGTTTTACCCCAGATATTGATAAGATTAATAGTAATTCAAGAACGGACTTTTTAAAATCTTATATTGGAGAATAAACATTGCAAAACATGTATTTCTCCTTCTAGTCTTTGTGGATGGGAAATCATCTTTGCTGGTCTACTATTCATCAAATCGTTGACAAAACCTAATCAGGGACTCTTTTTCAAACATACCCTTTGTACTTTCTATGAAGGTAACTTTGTGTGAGCTGAGCTACTTTCTCAAATGTGACCTGTCCACTGACATGGTAGATCCAGAAATTTCCTTTGAGATAGGCATGGTAGGGGGATAAAGAGATGAAATTTCATTAGTTATATTTTTTCTGCGTATTAAATGTCACCAAAAAGTGTCAGATGGTTACTAGCCTTATTGGGGGTGATCACTTCATAAGTTATATAAATGTCTAATCACTATGTTGTACACTTGAAACTAATGTAATATTGTTTGTCAACTATAATTCAAAAAAATTATTTTAAAAACCTACCAAATTAGAAACTATGTTAAGTCAGTGTTATGTATGTCTGTTCCTTAACAGACATTTAAATCAATGACCATTGAAAGGATAATTGCAGACAAAACTAAGGTGGGGGAAAAAGCTTTCTTGAGTGGTTAAAAATAGAACAGAAAGAAAAAATAATTTGTTAAGTGATTGATGTTTCTGTACTGGTATGTATATTTCTATGCTCAGAATTATCTCAGTTTTTTATCTCTTCTGGATTAATTAATGCCTCATCCTCCAAATACGGCTTTATTCTCCATGCTCCAAATACAGAATAAAATACGTTCTTTACTCTTGATTAAACCCCTGCAGCGACTCTTCCTGTCCTCCAGCATGAAACTTTGGTACAACTTACAAGATCCTTTAAGAATTCAGCCTTTCTCTCAACCTCATGGTTCCTAATCTCTTTGACTTCCCTCTCCCACTAAACAGAACTCCTGGCACTTTCCTCAAAGTTCTTTGCCCTCACAACTGTCTTTGCCTTTCCTCCCACATTCCATTGCCCTGTCTTCACCTGGCTAATGCCTACTTCAAGATGCAGATTAGCATTCAGTTCCTTGAGGAACGGTTCCTGATCCGTGACCCCTAGGCTGGGTGAGCTCCCTCCATACAACATTCTGTGCAGGAATCCTACCTTCCTCCTTACACATGCACGGTGTACTTTTCTGTAACATATTCCCTTGCATGCCTGCCCAAGCAGGAAGTGAGCTCTGCTAACACAGAAACCCTGTCATTCAACCCTGGAACTACTGTGATGTTAAAAAAAAAAAAAAAGCTTAAGTGAACGAATGAACAAATAGGCTAGTCTCATTATTCATTGTGGAAATAAAGAAGATCAGAGACATCACTTCTTCAGAGACATTTTTAAAGATGACACAATTTCACATCAGTGAAGAAAAATGAGGCTCTGGCAGTGGAAGGGAACTTGGAGTCACCTGGTTAATTCCACCAAATGAGGAGGAGGAAGGGTTGCGTGAGAGTAAGAGCAACAGAATAGGAGTCAGGACACCCGCATGCTCTTCATCCCCCTTCACTAACTGTGGAATTAGGTCAAGATCATTTATTTAGGAGGACCCAAGTTTCCTTCTGAGTAAAACAGAGGGATTAGCTAGGTGCTTTCTGATGTCTAGAATGCTGAAGAGGGAATCCACTGAGTCACAAAGGCTGGATAAAGACAGCAGCAAGGAGAATCTGACCTTGAAAACAGTTGGGGAGGACCATTTTAAAAACGAAGTTATTCTGAGATAAGAAAGAGAAAATTCTAGAAAGGCATGGGTAAAAATGGTTGTTCATTTAAACAGTGACCAGAGCCATCTACAACAGTAGCAAAGTGATTTTCAAAACTCTGGGTGTTGGGGGAGCAGGACCCTTGTTAAAGGAAACTTTATGAGATAAGTCGTGCGTGTAAAGCTATGTTGTTATACTGCACTTATTACTATTCTCAGCCCTTTACATAAACTCAACCCACTGAGTCCTCCCAAAATATAGAGTAAACAATTTTATTTTTCTCATTTGATAAATGAAAAAAACTGAGGAGTAACAAAAATGATGCAATTTGCCCAATGTCTCACCATTTGTAAGTGGTGAGGCCAGGTCTGAAATGCCGCAGTGCTGCGCCCGTGAAACACCGCTCCCAGATGACAGTGGGTCTCACCCTGTGAGCTGCTCCCCAGTATTGTCATGAGGCTTTGGAGTAAGAAGATTGAAAGGTAATTGATGTCCAATAATTCACAAATAACCTCGGGGGGCTGTTGGCTCAAGAAATATACAAGAGCTCAGAAAACAGGAGGATAGGAGAAAAGGAAAGGAGGGAAGAACAAAGAGAGGAATAGGAGGGAAGGAGGAAAATACAGACTATATCTATGTTATAGAAGACACTCCCTGCTGAAACAAATCAGATCTTTGTCATTAAAAATTTTTTCTGAGTGGTAACTGCTTTTCTGAATCTAGATGCTGTGTTACAGCCTAGCTGATTGACAAATTATTTTGGTGGCGAGACCAATTTTTCCTAAGCCTTGTCTTCTACCCATATATTATGGTCCTGAAAGGTAAACAGATCACCTCTTTCTGCACCACCCAGACACCTGCCACATGGTCTGGTGGACGGGTGGGAGAGAGCTATCTTGTTTGTGGCTCTCATTGAAACAGTGGTTCTGAGTCCTTTTCCCCACCTCCCTGTTTCAGAGGGGCATGATGCCCTCTCATTACAAAAGTGGTTCTCACTAGGTGGTAGGTGAGGAAGAGCTGCTGTCCCTACCCCTGCCCCCCTCATGGAACATTCTACAATCTTTGATACATAGGTAGTTTGAAAAAATTTGCTCCTCTCAATTGAGACTTACTGATCTAAAGGAATATAAGTGAAGCAAGAGAATAAAATTTAAATCTAGGCATATAATTATAGACCATATTGTGTCAAAACCAAGGATAGCAAGATTGGCCCATCACTCTTATTCAGAGCGTTGCCATTTGCTACCTGTGTGCACGATTGGACTTTCCCTTCTCTGACTGGGAAGGCCAGTAGGGTTTGACAGCCATTCCGGATTTGTGTGGATTCTTCCTCCAAGTGCTGCCTTATCATGCCTGTCCTTTCAACGTACCTGCTTTTAGTTTCACGATGGTGACAATCTGTAATCACCACCCCACTCTTTCCACTACCCCCACCCCGACCCCCACTGTCTGGGGTCTAGCGCCTCAGTGGAGCAATGGTTTGCTCATCACACACTTGCGTGCTTCAGAAATGTTTCTGAAGGAGGTGTCTCGGCTGTTGTATTCGGATTCTGGTCTTTACTTTAGTTTTTAGTCATTTGCATGCTACATCGGTGGCTCTAATGGATGGGCTGTCCCAGTGTTTTCTAAGATGAAAACAATCATTCACTGTCTTTCAGGATTTTTGCCGCGTCCCACCCACGCAGTTCATTAAAGAGATACCAGTCCAACACAGTGTCCTTGGGGGTATCACAAGGACTGAAAGACCATGGAAAAGGGAATCACTTTCTCGCTGTAGGATTCAGTGTTGCTGAATGCCATGTGGGCATTCCACCTAAAATAATCTCATGTATCTCCAAGTTACACCTGTTCCACATTTCACAATTGTTTTGGTCATAACCTGAGTAACACTTGGTTTTCAACCTCAAGGGAAGCCGTCTGCTTTAGCACCGGCATGTGGCCCAAACACTGTGTCTTACAAAGGTGGCTTCCCTTCATGCTTCCAGGCTCCATGATTTCTACTTTATTCTCTGTGTGTGTGTGTGTGTGTGTCAAGGTTTTTGATGGTAACAGAAAACCCTGTCTGTCTGTCTTAGGGAGGAAAGAAATGTTTTGAAAGAATAACATGTAACTTACAGAGCCATCGTAGAACCAGGCTTTGACAATATACCAGGGCCCAGGGCAGACAGGAAGTTGGAGCCATAGCCAAGCATCTGGTTGGAACAACTGCATGGACAACACCTCAGCCAGAGTCACTGGACATCTGTGGTGCTGGGCTCCCAGGTCCACAGCTACCGAACGATCTACGTGCTGCCATCAATAATTGCTCAACTCTTCCTGCCTCTTTGAATCACTAGCTAGAGAGTAATATCCTACGTGAGAGCATCTGATTGTCTGGCATGTGCTACCTGCTGTGTCCTAGCTGCTGGGGGTAGAGAGAGGGAGGGGGTTCCCTCCTCCCACTTTTGGCATCTGTAGTGGCAGATGCAGAACTGGGTCTTTCTAATATTACACACAATGGGGAAGTGCCCCAAAGAGGGGTTATGTACCCTCAACATTGCTTATCACTTCCTTCATTCTGCAACTGTTAATTAAGCACCAGCCATATGCTAGACACTGTGCTACACTCTGGATTTGGTGAATGACAACAACATGTCCCTGTCCTCAGGGGTCTTACAGTCTAGCATGGAGGCTGAATATTAATCAGATAATCACATAACATGATTATAATTGTGTACGTGTGCTGAGAGTTTACTCGGTGCTAATGGGGTGGGGGACTGACTTAAACTGGTGTTCAGGGAAGGCGTGAGCTACATCATGAAGCCGTAGCAGTGGGATTTAAGGAGTTTCATGGGGTGGGAGATGGGGGTTGGAGAAGGGCGTGGGGAAGTGATGTTCAGGAAACGGAACTGCTCATTTGAAGAGCTTTGAAGAATTCCAAACTGAACAGTGAAAGAGTTTGATCTATTCACCTGAGATTAAGATACTTAG